CCAAGAATTGTTTTAAATATTGTAAAATTGGTCATTGTGTTAATATGTAATCTTGCAAGAATTTGCATATAGATGTGGAGGATGATAAGTTAAATGATGGTGATGATTTTTATGAGTTTGATGAATAAATTGGTGATGTTGAGAATGTTTTAATTGATAATTATTTGAATGTCACGCATTGCTAAGCACCACTCTTATGCTTAAATCGGGTTGGAGGAGGATTGTGATTTTTCAAAGTTATTTTGATCAAAGCTATGAAAAGTTGTATGAATATTGTATTTAAGTTTTCCATAGATTCTATCATTTTGAAAATCGAACTGCAACCGCAATCTTATAAGGTAGTTTGAGTAGAAAACATTGCAATGTTTGCAACTCAAATGTTTAGTCTAGATTCAAATGACTTCTTATATTGATATAATCTAATATGATATGCTACCCATTGACATGGGTGTCCCTCTTGCATTGATGCGGGCCATCCAAAGGTGGAATGGGGTCGCATCTAACATGCGGGAGTTTTTGTGAATGTAAACAACGAGCCGACTGCTTTGCCTCTACTGAATCGGGCCATGTTTGATCCCTTCCAAAGAGTTTTCCGGTTCACCTGGGCCACTTCTAGTAATCCTGTCTTTGCTAATTCGTTGTCTTGAGAGTCGAGGGTTGTGTAGTTCACCTGGGCCAATCCTGTTATTGCTAATTCGTTGTCTTGAGAGTCGAGGGTTGTGTGAGTTTGTTTGGGACAGCCTTAGCAGGTCTGTTTCTCTGTTTGAGAGTTGCATCCAAGAGTTTGGGTGGTCTTTCGGCTGTATCTCGTTCTCGAGGTGGTGATTATCTTCCTTATCCCCCTTATGCATCATTCCCACTTCGCTTCCAGCCACCCCTTCCCAACTGCAGCTGCCACAACAGCCACATATAGCTGTTTTTCCCATAGTTTTTCCCTTTTCCTTGCTTCCACCATCCTGGAAAGCCATCCTTTCGCTGTCCTGCTGTCCACCGCATCCCCCTTCGCTGCCGCTGCCCACCTCGCTTGCTCACGCAGTCCAGAATATCACTTCCCTACTGTTTTACCACCGTCTATCCCCCCCTCTTCCCTTTCCTCACTACCTTTTTGCTGCCATCATCACCCTCTTGATGCCGCTCCACCATCTGGCCTTCCAACTTCCTTTTACTTTTTCTTTGGAAGTTCAAACCCTCGTTGATCACCACTGCCACCCCAAGATCCACCCTAGTGTGCGTTTGTGTGTGTTGTGTTGTTATTTACCATTTCCGTGTGTTGGTTTTAATCGCTTATTGGCTTTTCCAGTATATTATTTGTTTTGCTTGTTGTTGTTTTGGTTAGCTCCAGTATCACGCATGAATATTCTTGTTAATTTAGGTAGATCTTGGCTATATTATTTAGATGCTATACATTTGAAAGGTCTTATGATTAGTTGGAGAGTGATAGTTTTGAAACCTACAAGCCTACGGGCAAATCTTAATCTGTTAAAGAATCTAGTGCTTACAATCGAGTAAAAAGGCTACATATTCTGAGTGAAAATCTGATTGAGGAATTTTTTAGACAGAATGTTGTGATCTATGCCTTAATTGTTATGGAATTGAATAGTTACTTGATGTTTTGACTTCACCTATATTCCTGTGTAGTTTTGGAATTGGGTTATTACTTGAAGTTGTGACATTGTCGGGTGATTTCAATGAAGTGTTGAGTGATTTTAAAAGTATCTGTCCTGCAAACTTTCTATTGATTTATCATTGCTAAGGGATACACAACATGTTCATAGATCATCATTGACTAATTTGTCTCATTATAGGATGAATTTCATAGACAATGTTGAGCTTAAGAGATAAGATATACATTACTCAAGATAGAGTTTATTAGTAAAATACAAGCACTTGAGCTGTGTATGGTTTGTTCAAATATACAAGAATGGTAGTTGTGGGATGTCTGTAGATAGTATAACCATTAGTTAATCAAATATAGATTTATTATATCTCATTTGGTTGACGTTATGGATATATGAGTGACGTTTTATTATTTTCTGATATTGTTTTGAGGAGTGGATGCTGTGGAGTTTGAATGAGAAAATGTTGTGTGAAAATTGCTTTTAAAGCTAAAGATGTAATAAATGAATGGTTGTTGATTCCTATGGATTAATCAAGCACCTATTAATGTGAAGATAATGAATCATTTCTTGTGACCTTTCATTAAAAAAATTCTTGTTCACTTTGATGGTTTTCTTATTTATTCCAAGACACAAGATGATCATTTTCTGCATCATAGAAAAAAAATTGAGGTTAATGGTTGAGGATTTATATTTAAATGCGAAGAAATGTTATTTTGTGATCACTTGTAATGTTTTTATCTTTGGTTGTGTTTGAAATGTATTATTGTTAATTATGTTTATGTTAAAAGAATTAAGGATTTGTCAAAGCATACTAATAATGTTATATTTAAGGTTTTTGTGGTTTGTTTTTTTTAATGATTAATTCATTAAAGCATTTATTGTGGTCATTATAGGAAAATAACATATTTCTAGTTAATTTTTCTATTGGTATTGAGCCATTTACTGTCGAAAACTTAAGTAAAAACCTTGTTGAAATTGAATTTGGTCGAGTAAAACTTTGTTAGAAAATACTTTTCAATGGAGTTTTAGAGGGTTTGACCGCCAAGACTTACTAGAGGTCTGCGTATTATCATTAAAAAATAATATTATATATGTCATGAAAATAACATAATAACAATTCTTAAAACGAAGTAATAGGTACCAATGTACACAATGAAAAAAACACAATTAAATGTTCAAAAAATATTAAAATATGCTTAATACAAATAATATAGTCATTTTAAATTATGACATGTTTGTTTTTTACAGAAAAGAGGGAACAATTATGGAAATCGCTCTTAATACAATTGATGCTCTGATAATCGTATAGATTTCATACCATATTTGTATTACAATTTGAGTTTTAACATGACGTTAATTATTTGATCGACTTGCTTAAATTTGACCGACCGAGTGGTAACCGCGTCTGAGGTGACCGACCGAGTGGTAACCGCGTCATGGGCCGAAGCGCCTGGTTGAGTGTTGATTTCGTTCGCTGTGGTAAAGGTGGGTCGACCTATTAGATGCTATCAAGGATTCCCGCCTGTGTCCCAGTCAGTCGAGACTATCGGCGTGATCTGTCGTTCGAATCTCTCATCATGGTGTGTCAATCGATTCTTGGCCACTTGGCTGATGGTAGGGCAGAGGATGTCTTGGTTGTCTGGCCGTCATCTGGGCCGTTTGAATACTTTGAGATTCGACTGACAGTTGTGGTGTACAAGTTCATATCATAAAGTATTCAAATATTGTGATTTGCTTTTTGCTTCTAGTATGTCCCCCTTTTATGGGTACACAAATGAAGCTCTAAGATGGTAAGATCACTTCACATAATCCATTTTTGCAAAAATGCTAAATAAATTAATAAAAAAATATAATAATAGAAGGCATATATAAATTTATACTTACCATTATGCTATGTGTGCAATTAAGGGTCTGTTTGGGGTAGCTGTAGCTTATTGAATAATTTGTTGATAAACTGATTAAAAATAATTTACTGATAAGCTAGATGCCGTGACTATTACAATTTTTTATTTTTTTGAAAAAACCGAACTGCTGCCAAAAAGCTGCCACCGCATCTAGATTGATGCGGTGTGAAAAACTTTGTTTTGAAAACGCATAAGCTGCCAAAACGTAGTTTACCCAAACAGGCCGGGTGCGTTTTCAAACGCCATCTCACCAAATAAGCTGCCCCAAATTAAATCACTATCATAGGGAGGCTGTTATTCATCCACAGTTAAAAACATAGCTTTATTTATTTTGCTTTTTGTTCTTCACATACTCTAGACTTTCCCAGTCTGTACTTTAACTGATCCACACTCCTTTGCCATGCTTTTTGATCTCTACCTAGATTTGTGAAATGTAGAGAAAATAACATGCAAGTATGGTGTGTCAGGTCTTTGAAATTTTCTCCCAATTTGCTCCTGTTATTGGAGAAGCCAGTAAAGTGCTTATGCATTACATAGGCATGTTATTGATGTCTCGAAGTTATAGATTTTCTTGGGTACAATGCAAAGTTATTAAGGATTTTTGACATAAATAAAATAAGAAAACTCTGAAGCATTTTAGGTAAATTTTTTTATTAAAACTTATTTAAACACACACACACACACTTATATAACATTATGTTAATTAACTTAATTTCAAATCTCAATTCTAC